ATGGGATGCCCAGGATTTTGGAGGGTACACTTGAGAATAAGTAGTCTGGCTATGGCAACAGACAAGGATATCTACTGCCACATGGAGCAGCACTACAGGTCTCACGGGCTTCAGATTTTTTTTTTCCCAAACAAAAGAAACTGGAATCCAAATTTCTTTGCAAGTTGGAGTTTTGCTAATCTTTTTTTTTATCTGAGTTCTGATTCAAGTCTGATTCTAAGAGACGTCTTTAGGTCCTGTGCTTCTTCGGCCTTTCCCTTAATTCCAGCCTGTGCTGCCCACTCAAGTGCCAGATGTTGGATATAGAAGCCTTGGGTCCTTGTAGAATTTCTATGAGACAAGTTGCCCCTTTTCTTCATACCCCCACCATTAACAAAAGACAATACAAAGGATTCTATTACTTTTGATATTTCTAGCTGCCTTAGAATAGCAAGTTTTTGGGTTCTATTCTATGTAGTTTAGGGAAGAGATGTGGGCATTTTTTAAGAGCTCAATTTTCAGTAATGTGAGCCTAAAGATTTATAAAATAGATTTATATTGAATTATGTTAATAGACGCCTAATAAATGCACCATTTAATTGCATGGAAAAAAATGTTCCCTTTTAAAAGGTCTGTCACCTTAACAGGTACATTCAAAGATTCCCTGTGAATAATGAAAATAGGAACAATTGCTTTGATGCACTGAGCTGCATTCATCTTCTAGGACAGCTTTGGGCTGTGTTTGGAGAAGATGGGAGGAGCTCTTTTGAAAGGAGTGATTGCTCCTTTAAACCCTATTTCCTCTAGCAAATAGGTTCTATTGGAGTGTCATTCTCCCCTCTCTCACACCCGTAAGGCTGGGCTTGAGATCCTGCCCCAGAGCTCTTCTCCATGTCTCCCCTCCATGTTCAGATTGTTTTTCCTCCCCACAACCCAACACTGAGTACCTCCCCATCTCCCTCAAAGAAATCTCTCAAGGAGGGCCATTAAAAGCAAGTGGAACCTGCAGGAAAGGTATAAGTGGGAAGCAAAAAGAAAAAGAAAGGCCGGGGCGGTGGCTCACGCCTGTAATCCCCGCACTTTGGGAGGCCGAGGCGGGAGGATCATGAGGTCAGGAGATCGAGACCATCCTGGCTAACACAGTGAAACCCTGTCTCTACTAAAAATACAAAAAATTAGCCAGGCGTGGTGGCGGGCGCCTGTAGTCCCAGCTACTCAGGAGGCTGAGGCAGGAGAATGGCGTGAACCCGGGAGGCAGAGCTTGCAGTGAGCTGAGATCACGCCACTGCACTCCAGCCTGGGAGAAGAGCGAGATTCCACCTCGGGGGGGGGAACCCTGGTTAAAAATTACTCTTTTCCATCTACATCACCACCATCAATGGACCCTTTCTGTCTCTCTCACACACACACGTGCCTCATGCATGCACGCACTACACACATGCACATACAAACACCCTGGTGCCTCTGTGACCGCTTTTAGTTATAACCACCGCCTTTCTGGCAATTGTCTGACCACAGTTAGAGTGGGCCAAGCAAACTGCATTTCTAATCTTTACCAGATATAACTGGACAGAATTGGTGGGGCGTTGTGGAGCTGGGGAGGTTAGCAATGAGGAGACAGAGGGGGAGGTCAGATATCAAACACTTCACATCCCCAAGTTTTTTGTCTCTCCTAAAATTATTAGATATGCTTTAGGGAAGTGGGGAAGGGACTTAGCTATGATGACCACTTCAGAATAAGGACCCTAGAGGAAAAGAGGTCTATGGGCACCAGTGTCTCCATCATGCGTGCCCACTGACACCCTAAGGATGGCCTACTGGGTCACTTTTGCTTTTGACCTAGTTTGCTATCAGTATCAGGCCCTTGGCCTTAGGCATTAGTTGGTGGCTGAGTGGGAGAGTGAAGGGGAAAAGTCTCTGTTCCTCCTCTATGCTCTGAATGTCTGGGCTGGGCCAGGGCATATGGGTGAGAGGTCACCCTTCCTGCTCTCCACTCTGCCTTCCACCCCCAGCTCTTTTCCTATTTAAAGCTAATGTGAGACTTGTTCTCAAAAAGATGGACTCAACCACACTCACAGCTGGTGCTACCCACTGATTTTCTCTTGGTGGAGCAAGTTCCTGTTTTCTAATTCTCATTTTCACTCTCTTTCTTTCCATTCTTCCTTTCTTTCCATGACCTCTCTAAGAGGTCATGCTCCGGGGGGAACAGAGTTCTGTTTCTGTTTTTCAAGTGGGGCATATTGGAAACTAGTATCTAGTGCTTCCCCAGGTGGAGAAATTGTCAAGGGTGACCCCATACATCTTAAACTTTCCTCTTAAATGGGTGTTTGATATCAAGATTATTTAGCTGAGAATGTGAGTTTCTGAGGGTTGGCTTAAATGTTCTTAAACTAAAGTGAAACTGTTGGTCTTTAGAATCAGACCGACTCCAAAATACCAGAGCATTATTCTGATTTTAAAACTTCAAAAACATCACTGATATTTTTTGAGGAGTGGGGATAGGGGAACATGTAAAACTTGTTCTAGCACAGTGGGAGACCTCATACTCCCTTTTGAAAGTGACCAAAAAAGTCCACTCTGCATCGGATGTCCTAGAAGGAAGACCTCCCTGGGAACCTTGAAGAACCTTTTCTTCTATGGAGAGTGTTCCAACATCGAAATAGGTATCGCTCTCCACCCCCACTTTTTTTTTTTTTTTGGCTCTGGACGCAAATACTTTGTTTATTCTCCTTTCCCTAGGGAACTTCCCCAAAGATCGAAGCGAGAGGTGCTGGGGCCATCCAAGGCAGATCCAAACTATCTAACCAGGGTTGGCGCTGCGGCTATCTGCCGCATGGCAGAGCTGGACCCACCGCACACGGTACCAGGTGTTCCAAGTGCGTGGCTCCGCAGGGCCTACGAGCCGGGAGCCCAGAGCTGGGCGAAGCTTAAGAACTGTGATCGGGGCTAGTCATGGACATAGGGGAGGGCTAAGCCCGAGCGCGGAGCCCCAGAGGGGCCGGGCTGGGTAGATGGGACAGGGACCAGAGGGGTCTCCCCACAGCCCAGAGGAAGCTTAGCTTTGGGCAAGAGCGCAAAGAGCTGCAGCAGGAGCTCTTTGTGCTTCTTACTTTCCCGGGTGGAAATACTCTGCTTAAACTCCTGTTCTTTGCGCCTGCAAACTCCCTTCCTCCCACCTCCGTTCTCGCGCGCGGAGAGACCTGCTTCTTCGGAAGAAGGAAGACAGGATCTTTTCGAAAGGCAGCCGGCCTACGCCTCCTCCCTTTCGTGGCGGGCAGGGTGAAGAGCCCGGAGCTCTGTGTATGAGAGACGGGAGGAAAGAGATTCAGAGGTTTCAGCCTCCCAGGCCGGGCAGTAGTGAGCCGGCTGTCTGGGACCTCTATGCAGGACAGAGCTCAGCACATTGCACAAAGCCCCTGCAGCTCCCTTGTCAGCCTGACGCAGTGCGGGCCCTCCTCCCTATGTCCCTTGCCGGAACGAAGAGGAATCTTCCTTCTGAGCCTTCTCTGTGTGTGTGTGCGTGCTAAAGACAACACTCAGGGAAAACCGTGGCCAATTTTAGAACCCCAACCGCACCTGGTGAGATTCAGTCCCACCGGCCTCAAGTAAATCAGACCTAAAGCCCTTGTGTATGTGTGTTGTCATTAACTCCTGTGGCTTGAACCTATTGGGTGGCATCTTTATAGAACCTAATCAGAAATTACACTAGTCGAGGATTAGTGGGGCTCAGCTTGCAGGGAATGAGACCTCTTCATTTTCCTGTTTCCAGCTTCTTCACTTCTCTCCCTAAGAAAACAATCCCAGGCTGCACTGAGGAGAGAGCCAGGTTGCCCTGCAGAGGGAAGAGCTAGAATTAATTATCTGGGACTAGGCTTAAAGAAAGTGATTCTGCTAGGCTTTGGGAAGGGGTTGGGGGGAGGGCGGGGACTAGAAGGGAGCCAAATGACTGAACGTTAGGGAGACCAGGAAAAGAAAATCCAAAACTCACAGATCTAAAGGCATCTCTGGGCTGCTTTGAAAAAGTGAGATTATAAATCTTTGAACAGAATACTTCCCGTCCCTGACTTTTTGTTTTCTCGACATTGAGGGAAACCCTCTAATTTTGCTTGCAGCATCGTTTTTAAGTTTCCACTGTTTGCTTCTGACCTGTTTGATGGATTGTTTTCTTCCTAAAACTATTCTGACTCTACAAATTCCTTCACATAATTCAAGTTTTCGTACTGAGAGAAATGAGGAAGTAGAAAGAAGAAAACAAATACTAGATGGGGGATTTTCACCCTTCCTTGCTAATTAAAGGTTTACCTGTCATTAACTGTCAGTGCCATTCCAAATGGAATGATTTGTCCCATCAACTGTGAGGAGGTTGCCTATTTTCAGGATGGAGAGGCACTACCTGGTAGATGCCATCATGACTAAAGGTGTCTCTTTGGAAAGAGTTTCTGTTACATAGAAAACCTATTGAGCCACAAACTTCCACAGTCAAGAGACCCACATTACCAAGTTCTTACTCAACATTTTCATTGAAGTCCTCAGACAGCTTTTTCCCCGTACATGCCTTTCTCTAGACATTGGAGGAGGGGGCAGGAGAAGATAGGGAGAGCAAACACCACAAATTTAAAATTCTGGTTTTTGTTTCATTTATTTAAATAAATATAAATATAAATTTTATATAAAACTATTCACATACAAAGGGACTTCCAGTGACTTAGATTTTAAATTCTCCTCAGGTGAAATTTCAGAAAGCAAGACCTACAGGGTCTAATTTTCTAAATTATTTTCAACTTGGGTATTTTTGTTTGAAAACGACAACAGAAAATAATCAATAAACCCTGTATTCTTATCGGGTTCTGAAAGAGAGTAGGGATGGGGAAATGACTTGAGCTTTCAAAAACCCCATACAGTGTTAAACTTAAACAAACCCTGTTTTTCCTCTGTTATATGATGAGAATGAGTTGAATTATAAGTTATTTACATTTTTATAAAACAATCTATAACTTCTAATTGGAGCCCCAGATAAACAGGTCAAGAAGGAGACACGAAGGTTCAGGCCCAGCTTGTCCATTCCAGAACATCTAGGTTGGTTTCTTCTCCAGATGGGACCACTGCAATGAGCAAGGATTTGGGCCCCTGGGTGCCCCAAGGTTGGCGTTGCCTGGTCTGCCAGGAGCGGGGGATGTGAGGGAGGAGGCTCTTCCTCATAAGGGGGAAATCTCCTTGTCATCGTTGGCAGAGGCCGGCGACAGGGAGTCCTCATCCTCGGAGCGCGCGTAGTGCACCTGGCTCCCGATGCACTTGCAGCCTGCGTGACTGTTCCTCTGCGTGCCCTTCCCCTCCTTCTTGTGCTTCACTCGGCGGTTCTGAAACCAGATTTTCACCTGCTTCTCCGACAGGTTCAGGTAAGTGGCGATTTCGATCCTCCGGAGTCGAGACAGGTACATGTTGGAAGAGAATTCTCTCTCCAGCTCCAGGAGCTGCGTGCTAGTGAACGCCGTCCTCATCCTCTTGCCGTTGGGTACCTGGCTGGCGTCAGAGCCTCCTGCGGACCGGCGAAGAGAGGGTCGAGAGGTAAGGCTCGGGCAAGGCGCTCCCACCCCACGTGCTAACCAGGACGCATTTCAGGGACCCATTCAGGGAAGCCCAGCCGAACATCTGTATCTCTTTCCCATTTCAAGGCACGTGGTTGCTTAGCGGGGGAGAAGAGAGACGTGCAAAGCAAATAAAGGTCTTCGATGCACAGGACGCGAAGTCACAGGATTAAAAGAGGGATAGGGGCTTGCACTATTTGATCGTCTCTCTGAGCCTAGCGGAGAAGCGCGCAGGCTTGGCCAAAAACGTAAAAACGCTTTAGCCAGCCCCGACGCGGGGATGCCACACGGGTTCAAATACACCCACCCCAAACCCCAAGCAGTTAACCTCCAGTTTCTCCGGGGTGACATTTGAAGTCCCTAAGGCCCCAATACTAATAAGGCAATACTCGAGCACCTAGTACTAGGAGTAAAACGCACCAGGCTGAGTGGAGAAGCTGGCAAACTAACTTCCACCTTCGTGGAACCTCTGTGGCCGACTCTACAGTTACACTAAAAGCCCCTCCTCCCTCTTCACCCTGTCCCCGGGCTCCCACTTCCTCCACTGGAGGTGGAAAGTTTGCCCCAGGAGCGCGAAAGCCGTGGAGCACAGTTGCCCCAAGACCCCGCCCTACCCATGGTGAGGCAGTGGAATCTCCGCGGGTCCGCCACGTTGTAGGTGGTGGCGGCGCAGACAGGTGCATGATGTTGCGGGTGCCCCAAGGCCGCCGCGGCGGCTGCCGCCGCTGCTGCTGCTGCCGCCGCCGCGGCCGAGCCAGGCTGCTGGGGCTGATGGTGGTGATGGTGGTGCTGCGGCGGGTGGTGGTGATGGTGCGCATGGTTCACCCGCGGGCAAAACTGCGCGTCCCCAGGAGCCGAAGAGAACTGGCTCTTAAGCAGAGGCAGTGCCCCTGTGGCCCCCGCCACCCCACTGCCTCCGGCCGCGGTAACCCCGGCCCCTGCGCTCCCGCTGCCGGCGCCCACAGACCCCCGAGAAGAGTGCAGGTGCGAAGTGACGCAGAGAGGGCACACGCAGAACGCGCCGCTCTTGCGGGACGGGCAGCCGGGGCCGGACACGGACATCACCAACGGGGACGGCATGCCAAGCGGGATGAAGAAATCCGGCCCGGGGTGCGGTTCAGGCAGCGAGGGCGCAGGCCGTGAGGAGTCCTTGATGATGAGCGAGTCGACATAGAAGGAGCGCGACATGTCGAGAGGGGTTGGTGGCTGGAAGCCCCGGCGGGTCGCGGCGACCCCTCTCCTCTAGTGTTCTAAGCTCTGCCCTGGAAGCCGGGCACACACGGGCAGTGAAGCCCTTGGGGACGCAGAGGTGTTGGCGTCTGGGCTGGGAACAAAGGGGTCCCCGGAGAGGGTTGGTCCTCACGTCCCCCGCCCGGCGCCCCGGCTCGGGTATTTTATAGCCCCCCACCCCGGCACGTGATGCTGCGGAGTACCGCTCGGCTCAGGCTCCTCGGCAGCTCCCCACCCTCGGGATAGGCTGCCCGAGTCACAACAGAAGCCGCGAGGAGGGGCGGGCGCGCGGCGGGGAAGAACTCGGGGGAGGGGAATGGGGGAGACTTTGCAAAGTGTAGGTTTTGTTAATTTCCCGGGGAGGCCGGCCTCCTCCGCCTCTTTCTCCACGCTTTACCGAGAAATCACAGCGCTGCATCCTCCATCCCACCCCCTCTCGCTACTCTGGCCCCAGCCCAACTCTTACCCACGCCCCGCCGCAGAGCGTACCAGGTGGGGACTTGGAGGCCTTTTTAATAGGAATGCTCGGTGTTCCCAGCTCCTCTGTGGTAGGGGTGGCTGCGGCGCGGTGAAGTGTGAGGCCTGCGGTTTGGAGCGGGATTGTGCGGGCGGCGGACTGGCAGTCTTCCAGTCCCTGAGCGCAGCTCTGGCCACGGTTACACCTATCCCTGTCCACAGCTTTTGGACTTGGCAGAGGTCATTCAGGTGGTTAGTTCAGGACAGTCCGGCGCAGAACAGTGAGGCCTCCCAGCTAAGAAGCCGTCAAGCTTTTCACGCTGATGTTGGACAAGGTCTAAAGTGGCTTTGTACTTGGGGCCCTCCTGGGGCCACTCAGACCAACGACCCTTCCTTGTTTCCCTTTCTGATCGGCGCCTCCCACTTCCGCAGAGAGAGAGAGAGAGAGAGAGAGAGAGAGAGAGAGAGAGATGTTGAAGAGTCATCCTTTTCTTTTTCCAAATAGTCAACACCATGGCATTCCAGGGCAGCCCTACAAACTCCATCCTGAAGATTTTGGAGGGAGGACCTCAAACACCAAGCCCTCTTAAAGACGGAGCAGGGATTAGATAGACCTTCGCTCTGGGTCTGAGGATTTCCTGTCCCCTCATTTTTACCAATCTTGGGCAACTTAGCAAGGCTAACCAGGAAGCACTCTTTCCTCTGCATCCTAAGAACCTAAAAAGGATGAAGAGAATTCAGCCACCCAGGGAATCTTGCCTCTGATTGGCAGAAGAGGCTTTGTAAGGGAAATCTCTTTGGTCCATGGAAGTTTTGCGAACCCCTCACTACCTGAGAAGGGGTGGCTGCCAAGCTATTGGGACTATTAATCTTTGGAGAAGGCAAGGCAGCAGAGGTGGCCATTTTCTCTCTTCATTTTCCCCTGCAGAAAATCTGGTTGGGTCCATGAGGTTGGGCAATAGCTACAAGTCTGATCCTTTTTCCAGAACAGCTAACTTCAATCCTGAGTTCATGATGGTGCTAAGAAACTTAGAGACAGGACTCCCTCCACCTGAGAGAACAAGGTGCCCAAATCCAGGAGAGTGCTAGCTAGAGGCACGGCTCTGTCTTTCCATCCTCTGTCTTCCCCTCTCCATCTCTGTGATGGTCTCTCTTGCCTGCTAGAGAAGTGTAATTGGGTTGTAGGGATGCCCCGCTCTGGGGAGCCCAGGATTTATGGATGGCAATTAAAGTTTTATGAATTGCAGCTGAGGCTGGTTATTGAGCTATTTGAATGTGATTAGAATTCAATTAGAAAGCGGTTAGTGGACGGTGGGTCTCTGGAGTGTAAACAGACAGCTATTCCAGAAATGTGCTAATCCAACATCTTGTGACAACAATTAAGGAGTCTCAGGGCTTAACAGGGGGCAGCTCAGCTGTAACTACTTTTGTACCACAAGGTTTGCAGACACTCAGGCTCACCCCAGCCCACCATTGTTCATGACTGGAGGATCTAGGCAATCCCTGACATCATTTCAGCCCCAGGAAGAAGGCTTGGAGCCCACTGATAGAGACTGGCAATAAAAAAAAAAGTACCCTGCTGAATAGCAGGATATTTTTTACAGACCTAAACTGTCCAAATAGATGACTCGATTTCCCCTATTCACTTTGCAACTATACATGCATATATAGATATAGATATAGATACTCTTTAAGAATAATAGCTTTTTCTCTTTTCTTCCTCTGGGTTAGGTACCAGGTTTTCCATGGTCTGTTTTGGGCTGATGATTTGAGTTACAAAGTTCCCAGTGGTTTGGGGTGTGCTCAGTGGAAGAGCTCCTTTGCTAAAGTCCTGGAAATCGCACCCTTGTGCAGACCATTTTACTTTAGAGAATCTTAACTATGCAAGAGGCTTGTGCATCTTATTCAATTTGTGTCTTACTATGGAAACTTTCATTTTTCAGTGCCAAGGAATTTTGACAAATGTGAGGGGCTCATGGGGTTTCCTAAGGGCTTCAAGGGGAGCAGTGGTTTCAGACCAGGCTAAGGCTGAAAGCAAGACCATGTCTGAAAAACTTGCCCCTTAGGGTACTTGGTTAATTGCTTCAGCCCACCAAGAGCAAGTATACTGGAATCCTATTTCTTGCATAGTCTCTGTCCACTCTGACTCATTTCGCTAGTTCTCTTTGGATCTCAGTGTCTGCCAGTCTCTCTCCCTCCTCCTTTTCTGAGTCCAGCCCCCATCTGGCCCTACTTGCCTATTCCCTCCTCAAAGGAAGTCTATCCTCCATGCCCCCAGGGCAGCACGGCCCCCCAACCACCCATCCACTGGCCCTGCCCAGCCCTACCATTCCCCAGAGTGCAGTGCCCTGAACCAGCAGGAGACCCCAAGTTCAGCTTTCTTTTCCTGAGAGGGAGCAGACAGACCGTTGGCGTGTGCCCATGGTGCCTGAGCCGCCACACAATTTTATTTCTCAGCGATTCTGTCTGATAAAATTTCATCGTCCATTAAGTAATCCCCAAAATGAGAGCTCTTATGAGCCTATAATGAGCTCTAATTGCCACGACTCCGGGAGCCACGTGGAAGGATTTATTTGGTATTAAGCAGTTGGGTACAGAGTACAGGCTGTTACCTAAGCCATTACTTTCATAATTCAAGGAGAAAATTAGTTCTTTTAAAGGAAGGGGGAAATCTTTTTTTATCTCCCTCTTGCTCGGGACGATAGTGGATGGTTTTGTCTTCCTTGAGTGCAAGACAGTGTCACATATGTAATGGTAACAAAATTGTTCTTTGTACTTCCTTCTGGCCAGGGCTCTCCACCCTTACCCTCAACTTAGAAAAAAAATCAAAGCTGTTCTAGAAAGAACGGCAGAGGCATGGCCTTCTTGTCTCTGGATTCTCCACCCTGAGCCTGGGTGAGCAGTTTCCTTTCAGCCCAACCTTGAGATTTGAATTCTTAGTTCTAGCTTTCAAAAGGTCTCCAGTACTTCTTCCCAGCTCTGCAATGGCACCTGACCTGAACCCTACACTCCTGTCTCACTTCTCTTTCTTCCTGTTTCCTTTCAGGGGCAAAGTCAGGGAAAGTAAAGGGCGGGGTCTTAGCGTTGCTTATTCAACAGGCCCCAGAGTTCTGACCCGTTCCAGTGCTTAGTTGTTTTTTTCAGGCTGTAACTCCCACTTTGCCCCTCCCTCTGTGTCCTCCAAAATCCTCCCTCCCTTTCATCCCCAGTCTTTTTTTCTCTTAGTTTCAGCATTTGCCCACATGGTTCTCCAGCTCCAAATGGAGGCTGCAGGCTGGGCGGGACAGCCCGGGAGTTGGCGGGGCCGCCTCGGATTTATTTGCTCCTCTTACATTGATTTCATATTAGTTTCCAAAGCGATGAATGATCTCAAAGCTGGGTTTTGTTAGCCGAACACAAACAGGAGACAGGACTTACTTGCCCCCAGCTCCCTTTAATGAGGTCATTATCAAAGCGTGAACAAGTCTATGAATGTTTTATTGAAAGTGCATCGTTAACTTGTATCCATCCTTTTCTCCGAGTGGCATTGTGATATTGCTGTCTGTGGCACATCTTACCCGATATAGCCCGAGATTTCCCCATTCTCTGTAACCAGGCAACCCTTTCTGAATACCCAAAAATTGAAAAGAACCGCTTAGTCTTCAAGAAAGTCCTCAATAATAGTGGAAAAGAACAAAGATCCAGGAGACAACAAAATGCCACAGGGGTGACTTTTCATGAGCAATTATCTCTCATTAATCAGAAGAACAGCTGCAATATTAATTTTCTCTCTTTCTTCCTCTCTTTTCACAGTCCCCAACATTTGAATAATCATAAATTTTGATTTTATGAAGGAGTCACATTTTCAGGGGCTGGAGGAAAGCAGCTACCTAGGTGAAGACAAGGAGAAAATGCTCTCATTTTATTTTATTTTTTGTTTGGGTAAAGCTGCCAACAAAGCAAAATGGAAAAAATAAAAATAAGGAATGCCAGAGAAAATGCCCCCCCTTTCTTCTTCTAGATAGCTGTTGAGAATAAGGACTCTTTTCTCCCCCACCCTCCCCTCACAACTACCCCTCCTTTCTTTCCTCCCCCCACCCAGACCCATTCCCCAGTTTTGCTCTGAGCAGGGCGGAGGGAAATGTCCCCGGCGACTGGCGTGGGAGTTTCAGCCCGGTTTCTGCCCGTTTAACTTGCAAACGTGAAGCCAAGCGTTGTGGATCTGACCAAAGAGACACTCTTTGGGCGTAACTTGCATTGTGGCCATCAAAAGCCCGCCAGCCCTGGATGAACTGAGACGTGTATTCAGCAGAAATGGGGCGCTCGCTCTCCTTTCAGGCTCTGGAGAGGCAATTGTTCACAGGATGTGTAGCCAGGGTGGAAAACGTGGGTCCCCCGATAAGGCTATAACCTGCAAACGAGCTTGGGGGAGTTAAAAGAATCTCATTAAAGCTCCGGCTGCAATTAGCAAATACACACTCATAGAGAACTCAAGCTCCTCTTGAAAAGCTGTGGGTCAAGATGAAAGAGGGCAGTTGAGAGCTAGTCCCCACATTCTTGCACTGCTTGAGTGATGGGGGGCTCAGGAGCCAGGCTATTCCTTCAGCTGCCCCAATGTTGTTAGTTTTAATGCAAGGCCAGGGAAGGCCTTTCTAGAGGGAGGGCAGGCTATGGGCCCTGTGCTCATGCACCACCAAAAATAATCTTGCTTCTCCCTGGTGTTTATTCAGAACGGATGGGCTTTTGAGAAACCTGAATTCGCCTTTGTGCTCACCACAGTTGCAAGAGTTCAATTCGGCCCTGAGAAGAAGGGGCGGGGCGGGGGGGTGGGGAGTGG